ATACCAATGGTTATTGTTTCAGAAATTTATGAAAAATCGGTATAAAAATTATAGAAACAAAATAATGGTATCAAAATCGAAGAAGAAAACTTACCAGTCGTATAATTTTCGGCAGTAAAACAGTGATTCCGTATAGATTCTGAGTTGTAGGATTGATGGAGAAATAGTGAATTTGGGTGGGAGAATAGTTAAGAAACGTGGGTATGCGGGAGAAGAGAGTAAAGTGTATGTAAAAGAGAGAGAGAGAGAACGTGTTTAGAGGAGTTATATGGTGATTATGTGAGAGAAAATACTAAAAAGGAGAGAGAAAAATATTATTTAGCATATATGGTGCCTTAAATGTAGGATGTAACTATAATTGGATATTTTGCTATAAAGGATAAAAGGTATTTATAGGATGTAATATTTTAAAATGGTATTTATTTAAGATAAATAGGGTACTAAGGTTTTCTATAGGGTGTAAAATTTCCTTTATTTTATTGGATATTGCAGTAAATTTAAATTCTTGTGAAATAGAACAGTTCTGAAAAGAGTTTTAGCAAAACAGTTTTGCACAACAGTTCTTAAAATCTTATAAAACTGTTTTAGCAAAACAGTATTATACCGAAACTGTTTTATACATTGCGAAACTATTTTAGTTATTTTATCTTATCGGGTAAACCGATAACCGAACCGATAATGATCGATAACCGGTTAACCGATAACCAATAATCAATATCTTATCGGTTTGGTTATCGGGTTATGATATTTGTAAACCGACAATCGATAGGCAAAACTGATAATATTAATAACCAAACCGAACCGACCGATGCCCACCCCTAATGACAAGGTTAAAACTATTAGTGGAGTTAGACAATATTTGAGGATTCTCATTCATTAAAAAGAGAAGATTACCAAAATTTTGTAATGGCCTTTTTCCTAAGAGACCGGGTCCAATAAGTATATCACAAGTTAAAAATAAGTTTCTCAAGTTGAATTGCCTTTAAATGAAGGGAAAAAAGTTGAATTACGTCCGTCAAATCAATATTCAGCGTCAACTAAATCCTTAATCTAGAAGTCTTCTAAAACGGAGAAAAGGAAAGTAAAAAACAGCAGGAGTTCATATGTTGAATCTTTTTACTGTCAAAATTTACTTCACCAAAATTACTGCTCTAGAGAAATTAGTTTCACCGAAATTACTGTCAAAATTTACTTCACCAAATGTCTATGCAAATTATATATCAAGCCAGTTTCATGTTACTTAGAGGGTGTTTGGCTAAGAGCCCGTTTGGCCAAGCTGCTAAAATCTGCTTATTTTAAAAAGTACTTTTTTTCATAAGCACTTTTTTTCAAAAGTACTCTTGCAAGAAAAACAGTTTGTGTTCGGCCAATTCATTTAAGAAGTACTTTTTGCAGCATTTGGTAAACAAATTGTGTTTGGCCAATCTTTACAAAAAGTACTTTTGAGTGTCAAATTATCAAAAAGGATAGTGCCAAGGTCTTATAATTCTTTCAAAGAGAAAAATGAACTCAAATATTTATTGTAAGAGACTTTTATTATTTTTTATTTTATTTAACTAAAATATAAAACATAAAGTAAACAAACATATTAAAAATGTAAATCAATTTTACATATATAGTTATACCAAAGCATATATTATTATCTAGTATAATTACTTATTGTTACATGATGATTTGAATCATCAAAATACATCATTCAGTATGAATTAAAAGTGTATTCCACAAATTACTATATATTGATAATCTACCATGAAATAATAAGTTAAGTCACTCACACATGATAATATTTCTCAACGATTTCATCTCGATGTCTATTGCACAATGCCTCCATATTAGTAGAAGACTTGTCTTGCATTTCTAAAGGAATATCAGAAGGCTCATCTCCTTCCTCAATCTCTGCAGTAATATTTTTATTAGCATAATAATTGAATTCCTTATTCGGATAAAATTATATATATCCTTGGTAAATGTAACTAGATGATTCTTAGTGTCAAACCTGAAAGATGGTATTCAGCGTAAAATAGAAATAATTTTAAATATATAAAAATAAAACTTTTTGTAAAAGACATAGTTAAGTATGTCTAAATTAAAATTCAAAAAGAGTAACTAATTATTAACACACATAATGTATAATTTAATTTTTTAAAAATTTAAATTCAAAAAGAAACTAATTCGTATTACCTAACCTTACTAACTTTGTCCTAAATTGCCAAGTGACCTATTGTCAGGCTGCCACTTGGCTTAATGTGTGATGCTTTTTCTTCTTCTTTTAAGAATATATAGATAGATTATGTGATAGAATTGTAAATTTATTACCTATTTGTAGGTAATTTTCACAAATTAGAAATATTCGGGAACTAATAGCATATAACAGAAGAAATTATAAATGATTATTTGTAGGAAAAGATTTGATAATCCAAAGAAGGATGTAGATAATTAGCTTTAGTGTGAAAAAAGAAGAAGATAATTTGGAGAGTTACAAGACATTACACAAAGAAAAAATCAAAAACAAGAAAAGTCAATAAAGAATTTGGAAAGTTATAATATGATTTGTGTACAAGATATCCTTAATTTTAAAAAAAAATGGTAAAAACTAGAGAAAAAAAAATGAAAAGAGAAAACTTAAATTAGTAAGGGATAATTTGGAAAATATAAATTTATGGTAAGGATAGCTTTGTCTTGAATAAATTAGTTTTCCTTTTGCTTATGCTTCTTGGAAGAAGCTAGAACTTTCTGCTTCTTCCCAAAAGCAGAAAAACTGCTTCTGCTGCTGACTAAAAGTACTTCTCTGTATTGGCCAAACAGCTTAAATTTTTTAAAAAGTACTTTTTTTGGAGGAAAAAAGTACTTTTGGCCTCCCAGAAGCTTGGCCAAACGTGCTCTAAGCTTATAAGCTGATCAAACCAGTTTATAAGCACTTTTTGGCTTATCTACGCGTTTGGTAAAGTTAAAAGTACTTATAAGCCAAGTGCTTATAAGTCAAAAATAAGCCATAAGCTAGTCACCCCCAGCTTATGAATTTTTAGCTTATAAACACTTTCAGTTTGAACAAAATTTTTACTATTGTATCCCTAAAATATTCCTTTTTAGAACAAAACTCCTACATCGATACTCATTGCATTCACGTATTTTTTCGACAGGCCTCTTCAAGCCTGCAATTCTCATTGACTATTTAAGGCAAGCAAATACTCTATTCCTTTGCATATTTGTATCTATGTGATTGTGTATTAATCTTTGAACTGTATGTAATAAACGAGGACATATCAAATTTTTTGGTGTATTGCTTTTTAAGTGTTGTGGTAATGAAGACAGTATTTGTTTCTCTTCAAATATTTTGTCCTATTTAAGTTTAGTTTTTTACTGAGAAACTTTTGTCAATTTATTAATTATTATAACTTATGATTATATTATAAAATAAATTATATTTATCATAATAATTATCTTATCTAACCACGATTGTATTTCAAATAAAATGACAACTAGAATATTTTGCATTTAAATCGATATGGAATCTAAAATTTTGAAGAAATTACGCCCTTATAAGTATAAACCGTTCTAAGATTATTTAAGTCATTTTAACAGAAAAAGAGCTTATCAGCACTTTTTTATCAAATACTGCAGTAGCTTATTATTAATTTCAGCACTTATATCCAAACACGTTACTGCTTATTTATTAAATCCGTTTAAGTGCTTTTCGGCACCTAATGCTTATCAGCTAATCCAAATGGGCTCTTAGCCTGTCTTTTAATTTAAGATAGAGATGAATATAGAATTTAAATTTTATGGGTTTAAATCCATTATATATGAGTACATTTTTACTGTTTCTTGCAATTTTAGTGGATCTTTATACGTAAATCTATACTATATTAAAAGTACGAAGGCCCTTAGCGAATTGTCGTTCGCCTTTTTTACCCTCTAAAACTTGATTTCATACTAGACGAATTAGTCATTTCATTATTTCTCCTAATTTTTTTAGGACTTTAAAATCACCTAAGATTTTTCTTATTATATCTTTCCTTAATCCTTTTTTGAAGTATATATATGTAAAAAGTCATAATATTTGGCAACCTGTAACACATTAATTATCAAACCTAACGTGAGTAATTTTTCATCCAAAGAAAAGATACATATCCATTGTTAGATATCCTTCAACAAATACAAGAAGTAAAAAAAGAAATCAAGAAAATTAATTTAAAATTTAATTTTACACTCAAAATAGTTATTTAATTATTTTTCTAACTTTTAGGATGTTAAAATTAGCTGAAATTTTACTTATTATATTTTTTTTTATTTGAACTATGTAAAAATCTTAATATATAGAATTATATGACGTGTAATATATTTATTAAATCAAAACTAACGTGAGTATTTGCCATTCAAAGCAAAGCTAAACTTCCATCGTGATATCCTTCCATTGTGATATTACCATCGTTTCAGCTATCGTTTCTCTTTTACTATAATTTAAGGGTCTAAAAAAATAACTTTATCAATTAAAATTTGAATATTATAATAAAATAACAATGTGACCTTTATTTTATATGACCATTCGGTTAAAATTTTCGTATGATAACCTACATATGAAGTCTTTTTTGTTTTGTTTTTCTTTTTATAATCATTCTAATAAATGACAACTTCCTATATTTACGTTATTTTTTATAAAGTATTAACTCTAATATTCGAGTATTTTTTAAGATTTAATATTATTATTTATTTATCGAGCTAACGGGCTCAAAAGGATCAATGTTCATCATATTTAAGAACTTATACTTTTTATTTTATATTATTCAATAATTCACTTTATCTAATATTTTTTTGTATTTTTAAAAAAATATATATATTTATTGATATAGGGTACACGCTTTGCGTACCCTAATGCTAGTTTAATCAAAAGTATTGGGTTAATCTAACCCATAGCTTCAAGCGGCATCCGTCCCTGTTTTAAGATTCTCCTAACCAAATTCACATAAAACTCGTTAACTAATTAGTAATACCAAACCATGCACCGGAGAAAGCTGTGCCCGTCTGCGGAGCAGAGGAAGAAGATGATATACAGTAACAAAATTTCCCTCATTACACCTCCAAGACGACAAAAAAGAAGAAGTGAATTTACACCACTATTAATCCGAGTGCCTAATCTTATATCTTTTCATTTGCATTGAACAAGAAACCAACACAAAATTTTACAGGCGTACGTGCTCTACCGAGTTTGAAAATGCGAATGAAGCGTCAACCCACATTTCCCCTATAATCATTGGGATCCGGGAACGGCAACGGAAGCTGATTCGAGAAGTTTTTGGGCCAAAGAGAGTTGATCCATCAGATGAATGACACGTGTCCTGTAAGTCCGAGCCTGATCAACAGCCTCGGCCTCAAGTTCACCGAGCTGAGAGCAAAGTCGCTCCTCAGCCTCCTCCGCCACCCTCAGCCTTTCCCATGTTTTGTGCAATTCCTGCTTCATTTTCTCTTCCCTCTCAATGCTCTTTTTCAATTCTTTCTCTAACTCCTCATTTCTTCTCCTGAGTATCTCACTCTCCGGCACGGCGGAGATATCCCGGCGATGAGGCTTTGTTTGGTTAGTAGGCACAGCAATTGTCGAAAACATGTTGAAGGAAATAGTAGTTGAGAAAATAGTGGAAGCAAATATAGCTATTATTATTATTGAGCTTAAAAGAAAGGAAGAAAGGCAGGAGACTGATTTGTGGTTTTACGCTGATATGAAAACAGTTTAGTTGAAGGAGTTTTTATAGACCCAAGATTAACATGTCCAGGTTCAATGTACCTAATTTCCAGTATTGTTTGCGTTGATATTTTTGAACTACAATTATTGATTCAGCTAAATTTCTTTTTTATTTTTTTATTTTTTGTAATTCAGGGGCTTATTGCGTAAATAGCTACTAGCAGAGAGTTTTTGTCTCTTTTTATAAGCACCAGTGCACGTTAGCCATCTCCCAGGCCCTAGCGTCACATGAGAGCTTTTTTGGTTTGTTTTTTCACTGTTCTTTTAAACTCGACTAATTTAGATTCACATAAAAATCTCACTTTTAAAATAAAATGCTCTCTATCACACATGAATTAATGTCTAGCAATCGAACCCAAAATCTTAAAAGGACGGATGAATACTTAAAATTCTATTACGACCTTTGGTAGCATGGGCAAAGCTACGCTCTGGTAAGGGTGGTCAATTAACCATCTTTCGTTAGAAAATTATATTGTGAATATAGATAAAATATTAAATTTTAAAAATATATCTGAAAAAATTCTTGTCTTCGCTGGTAGTATCAAATGAGTTTTTCAACATACTGCGTCACTGGATACGAATTAGCAGGAAAATAGTGCAGGGGACCAACCTGACCTTGAATTTGTGGCCTATATTACTGTGTGTCAGTTTTGATTTGTGATGTTGAGAAGCGGCCGAGCAGTATAGGAACGGTGACGGCACAACTTCTTGGTATTATTATTCAACTATCCTTCCACTTGGGGAAGACGCAAAAACTGCCCTTGCATATTTATTTCCTCTTTTCCCTAATTTCTTTTATTTTTAATATAGACTTCAAGAAGAAGAGCCAAATAAGAACAACTAAAATAGCAATTTCTAGGAGCTTTGATTTCCTTTTCGAATCCTCCCTTTCTATTTTTGTTGGATTTTTTTTTATCTTTATTAATCCCCCGTTCATTTTTACTTGTCAACTACACAAAAAATACATTTCCACTTTTACTTGTACATTTTAGCAAATCAAGAGAAATAATTTTTCTTCTTCTTTTTACCTTATTATTAATTACTCATTTCCGAAATTATTTCCCATGACTTTTTGAAATGCTATCATTACTAGGGGTTATATGGTAAAATATTTACTATTGTTTACCTTGAAAATGGTAATTACAATTAGATTTGATTTTGTGGTTCTAAGAATACGTTATTTATTTTTATGCTAGTTGTTAGGCAGTGGATGCTAGGTATGAGACTAGAAAATAAGATAAGGGCTTGAAGATAGCGTGGCAAGCAAACCGAGTGACCGTGAATCGAGGTCTCGAGCTAGCCTATAGGGGGCCTCGAGGTTAAGCTGATGAGCTCGACTGGAGATGGCCGATGAAGGACTAACAGTTCTAAGAGCTTTGATGAGGGCTCTTTATGATCAATGATGAATAATAAATGAAGAACAATCAATGAAACGCAATAAATGTAAGCAATGCAATAAATATAAGCAATAAACTCAAGGCAGAATATGTTTAAGTTAGAGAGCAGAGAATGTTCTTGTTCTTGTATTCAATATCATGTGTGCAAAAAATAACAAGGATCCCCTTTATATAGAAGGGGGAATCCCAACACGTACAAGTGTATTTATTACAAAGATATGCGGCTGGTACAACCATTTATTACAAAGATCAACGACTAGTACAACCATTTAATGTCACGGTACGGACTTGTACTATTCTTGTAGACCTGGTCAACTTTAACCACATGCCTATTGTGAATTTCCCGCTTGTCCAAGATAGCCGCCGATTTGCACTGCCCCGATCCTCGGGGTCAAACTTCGAGCTATGCCTCGAGGCTTCTGAAAACGAGCTGTGAAATGCCATAACGATCATAAAATCGGACTCTCCGATTTTAGCCGTATACAGATAGTCCCCGCGTTTCTTAGAGTGTAATGATAAGAAACGGTCTTGAACTCTTGCTTCTTTGGTACTTTCATTATGACGTCAGCCCATCAGAGCATTAAATGCCATGACTCAAAGGCTGCACTGAGGTCGCTGTCAGCACGATTATCGAAAAGCCCACGAACCACTATCGGTTTGACCTTTCCGCTCCTCAAGCACTGCCCAAATAGCTTCTATAAATACTTCAATTCGTTTGCCATTTTTGCTTTTTACAATATCTCCAAGTTTTTAGAGCTAACTTCACAACTTTCTGCATCTATCTTCTTTCTGTGCTTGTTTCTTCATCTTCTTTACTTGAAATTTTTTTATAGTTATGGCCAGAACCTCTAAAATGGTGCCTCAGAAAGAGGGCATCACTTCTTCGTCATGCCCTTCCAAGGGAAAACCAAAATTGCCTCCGACTATCGAGCAATGTACCCCTGGCGAATTTGATACGATCTCTGATTTTTCCATCGAAAATCTCCCTTCTACACCGGGCCGATGTGAGCTCGTGTCTCGGTACATCGGCGTGGTGACCGACACGGAAAGGGTAAAGAAAGACTGCCGATGGGGGGAAGCAGTGCAGGTAGAAATCCCCAAACCTGAGGAAAGCATAGTAGACCACAAAGCTGGCTTCCTCAGCGTATACACATACCCATTCACTATAGGTCCTGTAGATCCCTCTTCCCCGGAGATAGATCCGGTGATTCTTGACTTTTGTCGTGAGTACCGAGTGACACTCGGTCAAATCTATCCTTCTTTTTGGAAGATCGTTTACATGCTCCGATATTTCTCCAACCAGGTCGAGGGAATGACCTTCACTCTCAATCACCTGGTCAGATTGTACATCCCTCATTTCTTTCGAGGTTTGATCAAGCTTAATCCTCGATCCGTGAAGACGTTCTTTTCGAGCATCGATGAGGACAAGGACCGGGGGTGGATGAGCTGATTTGTCAGAGTAAGGACCTCGAACATCATCCCGGCTGATAGGATGCCATTCCCGGTGGAATGGAACATGAAGCGTAAGTGTCTCTACCTCGAGTACATCTCGTTACCCCTTCTTCTCCTTCTGAAATGATCTTCTTTTGATTATATAGCCAGCATTTGGTACCCTGGCGCGGTTCACGACCTTCCGGGATGGATCAGACAATTGGACTCTGCTTTTTCTTATGGTAAGCGTGCTTGGCGTGATTTGGCCAAAATGCGGTGGCAGGCCAAGAACCACGGTATGCTTTTTATTTACAGGTTCCTTACGAGTATTCTTAGTGGTGGTAAGTTTAACACATCATGCCTATGCAGGCCTCGAGGAGGGCGTGTCGATGAGACCGGCTCCCCCAGTGAAGAAGAAACCTCGAAACCTGACAAGGGCAAGAAGAGGAAGAAGGAGGCGTCGACTGAGTCTCCTAAATCGAAGAAACCCAAGGTCCGCAAGCCTGGGACCGATGCCACGATTATGACTTCGACCGCTGCGGCAAGTCTTCGTGAGGATGATGATGACAGCGACCGGCCTTTGGTACAAAGGGTGAAACGGAGTGCTGATGCTCCACAACCCATTGGGCGCAAGGTCGCCGAGTCGGGGATGATCGATGTGGACCTAACCCGTGCTGAGGAGACCCTCGAAGAGGGTTCGGGCGCAGTCCCCGAGCTTCAAGTCGTACATGGTACAGTCCGCACCGATGAAACCTCGGCTGGCAACTCCGGTGGTCCTGAACCCAAAGTTTCTCAGGGTCGAGATGAAACCTTTATAGAAATTGATGCCTTGGGTGGCTTTAAATTGGGCCCTTCGTTTTCACCGGGGGAAATTAGGGATGTCCAGGACCCGGGTACCGCCGGTGTGGGGGCCTCTCATGGAGAGAAAGATATGCTCAAGGACTACTTCATCGGCATCGACGTGGACACAGACCTCGATGCCATCGTTGCTCTTGAGGAGGCCGAGAAGCTTCAACAGCAGGTAAAATTCTCGACATGCCATTTGCGCTTTAAGTTTTTCCCTTATCTTTCTAACTCTTCTGCTTTTGTTGTAGGTCAAGAAATTATATGACCATGTCTTTTCTAAGCTTCAAGATGAGCTTTCATGCCGTGAGAAGGAGCTCGAGAAGCTCGCCTCGGAGCTAAATAAGTCGAAAGCTTCCTCTGCCCGAAAGGAAGAGGAGTTGAGTGAGCTTCGGGCAAGCCTAGAGGGGGTGCACCAGGAATGGGCTGGCCTTGATGAGCAGGTAGCACGGCATCCGTGAACTCATCTTTTTATTCTTATAACTCGATGCTCACCACCTTGTTTCGCCTTTGCTGATTGGACAAAAGGATGCCATGGTGGGGCAACTTCAGGAATAGGTTGCAGTCAAGGATGCGGAGATCCTCGAGTTGAGGAGGCAGAATGAGGCCGTGACCTCAGAGAGAGACCTTTTTCGGGGAGAGTTGGCCTCGACCCAGGATCTTCTCCGAAGTGCTCGAGAGCAGGCTGCTGCACTATTTGTGCCAAGTCTGAGGCCGAGGAAAATGCATCTTCATACAAGAAAGATGCCGCTACCGCAAATGATCGAGCCAGAGAGATATTTGAGAAGGCCGAGCAGAAGCTGACTCGGGTCGTTGCTTATGCTCGTTTGCAAGCTAGGAGGCAGGCTCTCGAGGAAGCAAGCGCCAAAGGTGCCGATCTCTCAGCTGAGATTGAGGAAGCCCGAACCTTGGAGGAAGGATCGCATTTTCGGCCACTTCGGATGAGGGTTCCGGAGATGATCCGGATAGTAGTGAGGGTGAAGAATAGACTCACATGGTCTTCCCCTTTTCTCTTTCCCCTTTTTTTTTGCATATGGATTTCTCGGGGGGGAAGGGCTTTGTAAAGACACCCCTTGTAAATATATTTTTGGGAATGTAAAAAAGATTTTTCTGCTTCAAGTCTTCGAATTTTATATTTCAACGTTTACACGAAGTTAGCCTTTGAATCTTGATGTTGGCTCTTCGGAGGCCATACTTGGAGTAATCGGGACCCTCGAGATCGGGCACCATCTCGAGATTAGGTCGATAGCCTTTTTAGAGCCGATGCTTGTGGTAACAGAGGTCCTCAAGATCGGGCACCATCTCAAGGCTAGAAAG